GGCATTTTCACAGCACCACAGCTACCTGATGGCATCGGTGTTTCACAGCAGAAGGCGCGGAGGCACAGGGAGCTGAGCTGAAGCGACCTACCCAAGGTCACCTGTCTAGGAAGTGGCAGAGCTGTGTTTCCAACCCCAGTCTCCCGATGCTGATTCACAGCCCTCTGTAGGTTTTCATGTTTCTCCTCTCTGACCCTCTGGAAAAAGGATGCATCGAAGGACATAATGTTTTGCTCCTTTGTTTTTGTGTTACATAAGTAAGGAAAAATTTCCTGTGACTTTACAAGTTTCTCTGTCTCTCCAGTGTCTTGAATTTGGTCCCTACACAGACTGGCCTCTTGCTCACACACTCTGCTAATTCACAGGACTGCCTTCCATTTCAAGGGTTACCTCACCTTGCAGTGAGCCAAAGAGGTTTACCCTGGAAATCTTCACCCTCGTTCCTCTCTTTCTGGGAACTAGAGAAAGTTCATTTCTGAGCCTGCAGAGTTTTTAAGAGCACCTCCAGTTTCTCCTTAGCTCCTTCCCACAGAGCCCGGAACCTGCTGTTAGCTGCTCTGGTGAAAAAATCCCCTTTTTTTCTCCCTGGGAGGAGTAGGCACTCTTCCAATTTCTACAAGCTGGTGGCAGGAGGGCTGGCATTCTCTCTCCCCTGCCTCATCAACACTTAATCCATCTTCCTGGCTCTACCCACCCCTGAATTCGAAAAATGAAGTCAAAAACATAAAGGTGCATCCTTTCTGTGTGCCTGCTATTTTCAAGGGGCTACAATAGTGATAGCTACCATTCAGGTACCTGCAGCGTGCTACGTGGGGGCACTCTTCATGTCATCTCTGATACTCACAGCTACCCTATAACGGTGGACATGATTATTTCCAGGCTACAGATGAGGAAACTGAAGCACAGACAGGGTAAATTACTCCCTCAAAGTCACACAGTTAGTAAGTGGGAGTACATGGGTAGGCAGAGATTTGAACTCCACCATCTCTGCCTCCAAAGCCTATGCACTTTTCCACTATCCCCTGCTGCCTTCCTCAGGAAGGAGGTGAGAGATGGCATCAGAGACCCTTCCAATGATGAGCATGCCCTGTTTCCATTTTGCAACTCCTCTCCTGTCTGTGTGACACCACACATGCATAGCCTATCCTCTTTGCCTCCTGTAAAGGTTTCAACTTTTTAAGTTAAATGAATTCAGATACAAAAAAATATTTACATCTCTCTTTCCTTCTGCTGCAAATATAGGGACCCCGGCAGGAGGCTGGGCATGCCAAGGCAGGAGGCTGCCATGCAGGCCTCTCTGATTTCAGTTCTGGCGTCACTGAGTCAGAGCCTGGGAAGCCCTCCCTCACCAAGGGGAGCTTCAGGCTAAGCCGCAGGGTCAGTGCTCTCCCATTCCAAACTCAACCCTGTTCAGCTACTCCCACCCTGGTGTAAACCCCCGAATCAGCCAGCCAGCACGTGACCATGCACGTCTCTCTGCCTGCCACAATCTCCAAGAGACAACCTTGCTCTCAGACCCAGACCGGGTGTGGGGTATCCAACAGTGGCTCTGGGCATGAGGACAGGACGTGGGAACAGCAGGTGCTCCGCCTCTGGGCATGTGGCCACCCAGTCCAGCTTCACCCAGCACAACTCGTTTTTCAAATGTCCTAGTTTCAGCCTCTCTTCCTGCAACCCAGGCCAAATTGTCCACCCCCAGATTTCTGTCCCCTGCTCATGGGGCTTGGCGGGGCCTGCTGGGGGCTGATGTGAGCCAGAATAACTGCGAAGGCAGGAGACGAAGGGGGTGTGAGCCGCCTTTTGGGATCTGTGCCCCGTCTCATGCACAAACACCCCCTGCCTGCCAGGCAGACCCATTCTTTTCACTGTGGGCCTCGGGAACAGAGAGTACAGGGTTGACCCTGTTTGTAAAACTAGGGATGGTGAGGCAGGAATCCAGCAGAAGGATGGGGCCAGTTTCCAGTCCTCGAGAAGGGGCTCAAACACGAAATTTGTGGGGAGCTTGTTGCCTACCTTCTCAGAACCCTTGGATACCCCACAGCCTGCTCTCTTTACAGTGCCACCTAGGGAGCAAGAATTAGCTGCAGAGTGCTGGGAGAACCCCCAAACCAAATACAGATCCCTCATCCCGTCCCTTCGTGGCCAGTTGAGGTGTGTGTCGCTTGGTCAGTTACTAGTATAGCACCTACTATATGAAGGCTTCCTGTTGGGGAGAGTGGGTCAGAGTGCGAGACATGGCAAGTGAGCAAGTTCCCCATCTAGTTGGGAAGTCATGCGCCACATACGACAAAATTCATTGCCAAGTGAATGTGTCCATCAGCAAGAAGGATCCATCCAGCGAGCACCAGGCACTGAACCCTGGGCTGGGGTTTCAAAGAAAAGACAGATAATTCCTGCACTCAAGAAACACAGATGATCACAACGTGACGTGATCTGTATCCAAGACAGGTAGGAAGTGCAGGGGGTGAAGCTTCCAGATCAGGGAAGGTTGCCAGGAGTCCACCCCCAGGCCATCCGTGGGACATCACTCTAGCCTGTGCCTGATTTAAACCCTGGCTCAAACTAGCCCCTAAACCCAAATATGCTGCCCAGCCGAAGTTAAACAGCTCACCCTTTCTTCTCCTCGATTCTGATGACAAGTCTGCATGTTTAAGTTTCCTTTTGGGCTTTTCTATTTATGTTGTCATTGATTACTTTGCTCCTAACTCATCTGATTTCAGTTTGGACTGATTTGATCCTAATTTTATTACCATGTAATCTGAATGCACATAATTACTGTAATTATGCTGCTGAGGGAAACAGCTCCTGCATGGTGGGAAGACCTAAATTTAGGGCTTCCTGGCAAGGGCGGCCGTTGGCTGGGTGGACCCACAGCTACCTCAGAGCTGGCAGCCTTGAGGGGCACAGATGCCCTCCCCTGCAACACCCCCTCAGAGATGGGTATTTTGGGCTTCATCTCAGAGATGAGCTTGAGGCCCCTCTCAGAAGCCCAGGGAGCAAGCAGCGGCCTGAGTTGGGGTCGGGGAGCCCACCCGCTCTGCACACTCGGGCTCATATCTCCATCCTCTGCTGCATATGCTCAGCACCCATGGGCCGCCCGCATCTAAAGTGCTTGCTCACAAGGTCTCCCTACCTCTGGGTGCCAACTGTCTTCCCCAAAAGACCTGGGAACCAAGGGTTCCCTGATACTCATGAGGCGGGGGAAAGCAAAGGCCTGGCTCTGACCCTCCTGTATCCTCCCTTGCCCTCTGAGTCCAGTCTGAGGCTGCCTCCTCCATGATGCCTCCCTGACCTGTCCAGCCCTCTCCCTACTTGGTCATTTATGTCCCACCTGAGGAGACGTATGACTTACTGTTTCCATTTTACAGATGGGAAAACTGAGGCACAGTGAGGTTAGGTGCCTTACTCTAGAGTACCCAGTGAGTGGGCAGTGAAACTCTTAACTACCTCATTACACTGCTCCTTCCAAAAGCCCAGAGCCTATTACAGGATTGATCTCATGTAATTCTCCCCAACCTAAACGACAGCATAAAGAACACGAGCCAGATGCCACACTTTCCCCTCCTCCTGATCAGCCAGAGGGGATGGGGCACTGCAGACACAGAGATCTGAGAACCAGGTGGAAAAGGGGACAGGTGCTCTTTTCACCCAGCTTCTTTGTGCTTGGGAGGACTGACTCCCTGGAGCAGAGACAAGGCGAGCCCTGCTGCGATGACGAGGAGGGGACCCAGCAGAGGGATGGGGCCAGTTTCCAATCCTAGGGAAGAAAGGTTGGAACATGGAATTTGTGGAAGGCTCATTGCCTCCCTCCCCAGAATCCATGATTTGTTTGTGTACAGGAGGGAAAGTGGCAAGAAGAGTTGTAAAGGTTGCCAATTATGAAGCACCTGCTGTATGCACCCAGAGCCTGGCCCCTGCTGCCTTAGAACAAGCTGGGCACACAATGGTGAGGGGGTGGCTGAAGGTGTCAGGCCAACAGGAAGACAGGGAGGCCATCTCCAGGGGAAGTGCCCACTTTAGGAGACCCTGGGCCCAGAGAGGAGATGAAAGAACTGGGGACATGCGGGTGCGGAAGGGCCTGATAGCCACTGTGTGGGAGGGAGGATGCACTTGTTCTGTGTTGCTTGAGAGGGTAGAAATAGGAGGCTGAAATCAGCAAGCTGACTGGGACTGAAGAAAGCAAAGATTGTCCAGAAGTGAGCCCCCAGTTGGAACAGATACCTGCGCAGAGGCCCCACTGCTGGGGCCCAGTGCCGTGGCCCAAGAGCCCCCATAGGCCTGGAGCAGCCTCTGAGCAGACCCGGGGCAGGAGGACCACAGCAAGGCGGGGGACCTGGGCTCCTGGCCCTGTTCTCCTTCACTACTTCAAGCTGCTGATCTCATGGGGGTCTTTAGGTGCCTGCAGTAAAGGCCTCCAACTGGGGAGCGGGCATACCTGGAGCCATAGCCTCCTAACAATTCAGCTGCCTCTGCAGAGAGCAGTAAGCAAGCAGCGGAGCACAGGGCAGGGCCCTGGAGGGCTAGAGCCAAGAGGAAGGAGAGGGGCTTACAGAAAAGACCACCTTCCCATGTCGCCAAGAGCAGCTCTGCCCCAAGAATCGTGCCTTGCACCCCTTGGAGATTAGATGCTAAGATCATCTGAAGCCTCAGAAATGATGGGGCTGGTCCAGGTAACTCAAGGTCTTACCTACTACCCTGCTGCTGGGCAGGTGGGGGGCACCTCTACTTCCCTATATTTCACTCTCTGGAGGCCACAGTTCAAGGCTGAACTGCAAACCAGACACCATCCTGAGTCAGTGGACCCTGCCTTGGAGATGGAGGCTGGTGGCTTCTCAGAGACTTTCTCCCTGCCCAGGCCCATCTGCCTGATAGCTCCCATCCTCTCCACCTTCCACATGCACCCTCACATACATGCCAAGACGTGCACACCCCACTCACAGTCAGCTGCTGCCACCCTCCCCACAGAAGGCCTCTGGGCCCTGCCCTCACAGCTCACTCACCCAGTGAAGGGACCCGATGCAGACCTTCGCGGCCATCAGGGGCACAGTGGGGTCCGAGGGCCTCAACTTCACACACTCCCGCAGCAGGGACACGGCGTAGGCTGACTGCAGAAAAAACAGCAGGAAACACTGTCACTCATAGCCCTGGATCTCAAGGGCCCACAGTGGGGCGAGCTCCCCAAACAACCAAGCCTTACTCTGTATCCCTTTGCTCTCAGGAGCCAGGAAGAGGGCCAGGGCAGAGAAATCCCTCCCTGGGCCTCAGTTTCCTCATCTGAAGATGAGAAGCTGTCACCCTTGCTCCTTAGGTAACATGATGACCGCTAACATGACAACAAATGGAAGCTCTCCAAAAGGAATTCAAATTTCAAGCACAGAAATTTTAGAGGTAGAAAGGGGCTCTCTAAATGAGGGCTGGGCACAGTGGCTCACACCTGCAATCCCAGCACTTTGGGAGACTGAGGCAGGCTGATCACTTGAGCTTGGGATTTGAGACCAGCCTCGCCAACATGGTGAAACCCCATCTCTACTAAAAATACAAAAATCAGCCGGCTGTGGAGGCGTGTGTCCACACCCGGCTACTCGGGAGGCTGAGACACAAGAATCGCCTGAACCCAAGAGGTGGAAGTTGCAGGGAGCCGAGATTGTGCCACCACACTCTAGCCTGGGTGACACAGTGAGACTGTGTCTCAAAAAATAATAATAATAAAATAATAATAATAAATAAGGACTCCGGAGGCATGGCCAATGGCAGGGGTTGGGGGTCGTATAAAGGCTGGCGGAGAGGAAGCGGAGATATTCTAAACTGGCAGAGCCCGAGAGAACCTCCAGACAGGAATCTGAGGATCCCCCCAGGCTTCAGGGCTCAGACTGGACGTGCTGAGGACAGCCAAGTGTGAAGGAGGGCTGAGGTGGTGGGCAGCCACGGCCAGACAGGGATGTTACCAATAACAGTAATGAGAAGAACAGCAGCAGCAAACACTTATCCAGATCTTGGGATATGCAGGCATTGTCCTAAGTCTGGGGTTGACAAAACACAGTTAACAGGCCAAATCTGGCACTCTATTTTTGTAAATAAAGTTTTACTGGAACACAGCCATGTGCATTCATTTACATACTGTCTATGGCTGTTTTCCTGATACGGTAGCAGAGTGGAATAGTTGCAAAAGACTGTTGGGCCTGCAGAGTCAAAACCGTCTACTATCTGACCCATTACAGAAAAGAGGTTGGAGAACCCTGTTCTAAGTGCATTTTAAATACCAAGTGATTTAATTTTTACGCAGTCTTATGATGTAGATACTCTGACTTTACTTGGTACAGGTGGGAAAACTGAAATGCAAAGTTAGGTAGCTTGTTCAAAGCCACACAGCCTATGAATGGCTGGGCTGAGGTTTGAACGTAGCCTGGCTCTAACCACTACCCTACACTGCCTCTATGATGACCACTGTGGCCAGAAAGGAGGCCTGTTTCCTGTTTCCCTGCCCACCGCCCCCCCACCCCAAACACACACACCCACACACACACACACACCCACCCACCTACCCACCCACACACACACACACACACACACTCTCTCTCTCTCTCTCTCTCTCTGGGCTGGAACCTTTTCCAGGAAACTCAGCAGTAATCCTCCCAGTGTGTACACCCCTGTACCTGTGTGACCTCCAGGTTTGCAGGTACCTGTGTGTAACTATGACAATTCCCATATACTGGGCCCTACTGTGGGCCAAGCAATCCCCCATTAATTAGCTCTCATATCCCCCCAGCTCTGGAGGTACAGAAGGAAATGGAGGCTCTGGGAGGCTCCCCTGTCCACAGCAGGGTATGAGCAACTGGCAGGTGCACAGCTAGGATCTGAATGGTCTGTGTCCACCCTGGACACCCCGCCTCCCTCCAGCTGGCCTCCCATTTTCCCCGCCATCTAAGGAAGAGCTTTTCTCAACCCAGACGTGATAGATTTCCCTGGGCTTTGACTCAGACTTATTAGGTCAACTGCAGGTGTCTTTGCCAAGGGTATGCTCTGAACCCAGTACTGGGCTAGGGGTTGTGGGGTCACTCAGGAAAGGGGATGAGGCCATGGCTCTTTCCTCAAAGGACCCCACAGAAAGGGTGGGAGAGACAACAAAGGCCACCACCCCCATGGCTCTCTCTGGAAACAAGAGGGTAGGAGGCCAAGCACAAAAGGGTGTTAGCAGGTGACCGGCTCCTGCAGGCTGGGAGACTCCACAGCGTACCCAGTGTGGGCGGATGCCAGGGGGTATGAGGGGCTTGAAGGCACTGTCAGGCTATCTACCTCCTCCTGAGACCCTGCCCTGGGAACACCACTCCAAGTCCCGCCCCAGACCCTCCATCCACACCCTAGCAAGCCGCAGGCTTCTCAGCCTCCTTCTCATGGCTGCTAAACTCTGGATCCTTGCCATACAGGGTTCTCTAACCCTGACCCTCTGCATTCCACCCCCTTCCACCCCACCCCCATGTACACCAAAAAACGCTGCTATTTAAGGAGCCATCTGAGGACTCAGCAGCCGGAGCAGCAGCTTTTTTTTTGTCATGCTGGTTACCTAGCAACACAGCCAATGCAACTGCCGCACAGAGACCAAGAGAAGGAACGACCTAAATCACGCCACGGAACTCATCCATTATTCCTGCAGGTTCAACTGCCCAGACTCACCTTCTGGAAGGCCTTTCGGGCACAATCACAGATACAGGCCCTCGATTCCACCTTACGCTTTCAGCAAAGGCAAGGTCTGGCCACCCCTGAGGGCTGCCTGGGACAATCAGGCAGACTGATTTGGTGGGCAGGGTTCCCAAGGTGGGTGGAGAATGCTCTCCAGAACAATCTCCTGCTACACCGAACGCACAGTGTCTCCAGCCCATGGAGCCTCATGCATGAGGAACTGGCCAATCTCAACTCCCTGATGCAAGCCCACTCCTGGGGCCACCTTGCTGGTCTGTGAAGGAGCCAAGTCATGAAACCAGCTCCCTAGATGCTGGGATGGTGCCAGGCTGTGTCTGGATCTCTCTGAGTCCAGCTAGTCAGAGGCAGAAGACTCCTTACCTCCCAGGCTATCACGACACCTTTGACTGACTGGAGAGCTTCTAGGAGCCTCTCTCGGATTTAAAGCTAACTTGCATGTGCAGTTAATTTTTCTGAGCAGAAGTCTTCAGCTTCTCTTACCTCCTGAAAGGGGTCCATGACCCACAGAAGGGTTCGACTCACTGCTCTGGCCCTAGGCCTCTCCCACCTGTACTCACTGTCCCAAGATTAGACGGGTTTTCTGTGTTTCCCAGAGGTAGGAAGAACAGGCCCATGCCACTGTGAGCTGTCTGCCCAGGCTCCATGGAAGCTCCAGCCCCACCTCCTCCCAGCCCTGTCCCTACTACCCCAGGCTGACCGCTGCCTTCAATACCTTCCTGTCCCCATCCCCACTGCCAGTTCATCTTTTCCACCCCCTCCACCATTGCCCACGCTGTCTCCTTTGCCTGCAGTTCTGTAGGAGGGTTTCTCTCACTCCCTAACCCTTGAAGGGCCAGGGCCTTGCCCTGTGTTCTGAATTCTCCCTGAGCCTCAACAAGACCCTGTTAAGCACAAAGCCAAGGAGATCATGCTGTGACTTCAAGATGTTCTGCAAGGTGTCCGATGTGATGGGGGAGAGTATAGAGGTTTGGGAAGACACATGCCCAGCAGATGGGGACAGCGAAGGCTCCCCAAAAAGCCTCTCCCCACAGTCAGGCTGCAGCACCTGCTCCTCTTCCCCCTCCCTGCCAGGACCTGGCCTGCCTCGGCTGCTGAGGCCCCGAGCTGGCTGGCACACCCTTCGTGCGTGGAGGAGGCACTGGCAAGCTGGGAGGGCCCTCCTGAGAGACGGCTGCGGGGCCAGAAATGGAACGTGGCACAGATGGGCCAGGGGGGCGAGGAATTCCCTCAGCCCCATGAAAGGGCTTTGGATATTTACAGCTCCTGGAACAATCTGCAAGCTCATGCCACCTTATTTCCTGCATTCATAGCATCCTCAGCCCCAACACCCTCAGAACTCAGCTCCAGAAAGGTTTTCCTTTCATGTCACTGCTTAAAATAGAGGCTTATGTAAGTATAATTCTGATCGGAGCAGAAAGCAGGGGTGACGGCACCGGAGCTGGGTGGATAGAGAACGAACTCATGCCCGGTGCTCCTTGCTCTGGGCAGCATCCCGCCGGGCCCTGTCCCCATCCAGGTGCTCCTGGCCCCATACATCATGCAGTACTCCCTACAAACTCCCTTGTGGGTGCTGCTGCTCTGCTCCACCCTTTAAGATTCCCCCGAGGCAAGTCTCCAGTCCACAAGCAGGCCATTTCCTGACGCCATGCTCAGTGGACAGGATGAGAGCTACAGCCCACATGGAACAACGTTCCCTCCCCTCGATACACCTCATGTCCGCCACATGCCGTCACGTTATTAGCTCTTCAGCACAGAGGTTACAGTGCTCCCGTGCATGTACGCACGTGCAGAGAAAAGCATCCAGAGACTCACACCTGCACACCGGCACACTCATAGCTCACATGTGGACAGGAATTCACACAAGGTGTCTGTGTAGCCCACCCCATGCCCCTCACTCTCCTGGAGGTTCAAACCAGCTGCAGGATAGTCCCCACCCTCTCTCCTGGCCAGAAAACCCCTCCGTCCACCTCAGCAGAGCCCCCTGAGGGTGAGTGTACAACCCCTAGCACCCCCTGGACCTTACCTTCCCACAAGCCACCATGGAGAGGGCCACCTGGTACCAAAGGTGAAATTCTCCAAACGCAAACTTCATGGCTCGCTCCAGGCACTGGGGAGGGGAGATAGTCAGCACTTACTCACCAGGGGTCCTCACACCCCAGCCACCCACACCCTTCCAGGGTAGTCACTGCCCAAGTCACTGCCTTTGGGAGGCTGCAGGAGGCCCGCACTTGGCTCCTGGGAGACACCCTGCAGAAACCCAGTTCCTGCCTCTGGCATGCTGTGTGACCCTGCTCAAGTCTCCCACCCTCTCAGTTCACCTCCTTAACATGTGAATGATCTCACAGGGTGATACCAAAAAGCAAATGGAGTAAGATTTGTGAAAGTGCTTTCAAAACATAGACATGCAATAAAAATAGCAGGGAACATTTATTATTACTGTGCATGGCGCTGTTCTCAGCCTTTCACATGCACTCTCCCCAACAACCTTGTGAGGTGGGTTCTCTAACTGCCCATATTTCACCAGTGAGGAAGCTGAGACTTGTACAGCTTGCCAAGGTCAAAGCGGCAGAGCAGCCTGGCAGGGGAGGGACAGGTGAAGGGACAAATGGCTCCATCTGATTTCCTTTACAGACTGCCTGACTCTGGGGAGTGGGATGGGCTGCATGGCCGGCCGTACCTCAGAGAGCATGACATACTGTCCCCTTCTGCCCAACGTGATGCTCAGGAGGTCATAGATGGCTGCAGCATTCTGCAAGCTCACTGCCCGGTCCTCCTCCTGCTCTGGCACCCGGCTCAGCACCACGTCTCGAGTGGCCTGTGGGTGGGACATTGTTTGGGTAAGAGTGAGGACAGCAGATAAGTAGGTGTCCGTCTTCGAGGGGCCCCCACCTTGCTGGCCCAGACACTATCACCTTTTTGCCACTGACCCAGACCAGAAAGACGGCCACGCTCTCAGAAACGGCCTTTTCTCATCTCCACAAAGGCTCTCTCCAAGAGAGAAAATCTTCCACCTTTAGCCCAGGTTGGGTGAGGGAGCAGTTCTGAGGGGTCAAGCTTCTGGTATTAAATTTGTTATTCTACAAAATTTCAAGCCTACAGAAAAGTTGCAAGAATAGTCTCATAACCGAAAACCCTTCCTCAATGTTCCTCTCTCTATAGAATTATTATTGCCCTTTATAGTCAGTTACTTTTTCTCATTCCAGGATCCAGTCCAGGATCATACCTTGTATTTGGGTGCCATGTCTCTTTAATCTCCTTGCATCTGCAAGAGGCCCTCCACCTTTCTCTCATGACACTGGCATTTTTGAGGAGCACAGGCCAGTCATTTTATGGAACAGTCCCTGGTGTGTTTGCAATTCTCACAATTACAGCAAGAGTTTCAGCTAAGATGTGAAAGTGCCTGGATCGGGTAGGTGGCTCTGCTGCTTGACGCTTAGTGGGGAGGTTGGGCTGTGGCCCCCAGTGCCCTCTTCTCTTCCTCTTCAGTCTTTCAAGTAGCTTTGACAAGGACATTCCCAGAGCCCCCCTTCCCTTCCCCTCTGTGTCCAGCCTGGACCCTCTCCAGGCTCCTTCCAACCATGGAAACTCTCCTCCGTCCCTCCCCAGGGAGAGCTTCCCCACACTCAAGAACTCCGCTCTTGGCATCCAGCGCCGAGGATTTCAGTAGCTCACAGAGTTGCCAGATGGCTGCTGGGGGTGGGGGTAGGAGAGGGAAATGTGCTGTATGAGTGGGAAATTCTGCCTAATTCCAAGAGGGGAGCTCCTCATCACCAAGCCAGAAGCCCCCCATCAAGGATGTGGGATTCTTTTGTTCTTTGGTCTGTGCAGGTGGTCCCACCCCTCTACCCACCTCTATACCCTGGGGACAACACACAGGCTGGCGGCAAAAGAGACAGGGTGGAAGGGGAGAGGTTCCCCCACTGCAGGGGTCATGGGCGCCTCCGAGCAGCCACAGGGCAGGGATTTAGGCAGAGGACACTCTGGGGCCAGAAACAGTCACATCCCCATCCCCACTCCAAGGGCTGTGCGGGAGCTGGGCAGAGCTGTGCTCTGGGCAGATGCTGCTGCTGGCTGCCCCCAGCATTCTCCCTTCTCCTGCCCATTCCCCTCTGCCAAATGGGGCTCTCTCCTGCATCTCCCTCCCTCTGTCTGAGTCTCCTTCTGTGCAATGGGACTTGCCCTCCTCTGCTTCCATACACAGGACCTCAAGACCAAGAACTCAGCCTTCCTAACAGAATAAGAAGGAGCTGCCAGCCCTAAAAACCCAGATCTCCCTCATCAGAGCCACCCCATCCCTCCTGTGCAGCAAGTGGGCCTCATAGCTTCCCTTGAGCAGGACTGCTCTCCCCTCCTCCAGGTGAGGGGCTGGAGGCAGCAGCCCAAGCCCCTGAGGCCTCCAGACCACAGGCTCTGGGTGTGTCCCGCAGTGCAGGGCTGGAGTGTGTCCTCCTAGAGGCCTCCGGAAGCCAAAACACCTCCAAGACCCAAGGAGGTGACTCACTCTGGGGGACAGCTTGGTCACTGAGAGACTGGTGGTCAGGGGTTCTGATGGCTGCCCCGTTGCCACAGTTGGTGAGTGCTGCCCATGCCCCCATGGACTCAGATGGCCCAGGAGAGGGTGCCGGGATGCCCGGAAATCCCGGCAAGGCTGAGTTCTGGAGTCAGCCTGCGGAACAGGAGCCACTCAGGAGCTCCAAAGGGTTGAAGGAGAGGAGTGGAGAAAGAAGGTGCCAAGAAATCCCCCTCCTTCCCAGTGAAGTCCGCCCACACAGCCACCAACAGGAAGAGAGAAGAAATTCTAGGGAGAGGGTTGGCAGGAGCTAGTCCCCTGAGCCAACTAGGAATACAGCCCTTGTTCTATCCCTGGCAATGTACCGCCCCACTTTGCCACCTCCAGTAGCTCCCCAGCTCTGGCCATCCTGGGTGGGGACCCACAGGGGCGGCCTCCACCAGGCAGGAGTGGCTCGGGAGTGAGAGGATGGGGCACAGAGGCTCTGTCTGTGGGGAGAACAGGAAGGAGCAGCAGTACAGAATGCACATCCCCGAGTGGAAGCTGACCTGGAATTCTGGTGGGAGTGAGAGGTTCTGATGGGAGGGAGTGGGGACAGGCAGTCTGCAGGGGTGGGAAGCAGCTTGGCTGGACACATGCAGGGTCTGGGGACCCACCTGCCTGCCCGTACAGACCCGTCTTGTTCAGGGGATAGTGGGCTGCGAGCCATCACTATGGCCATCGGGATAAAGTCTAAACTCCTTTCTGGGGCTGCCTAACTGGCCAGCTTCTCTCCAGTGACATGGAACCCCTTGCTGGTCCCTATAGTCACCATGGCCCATCTTCGGTCATGCTGCAGTTCCCTCTGTCAACCTGGACACCTTCTAGCTCCTCAAAACTCCATTCAGGACCACCTTCTTACAGCACCATCCCTGACTCATCTCACCAGGAGAGGTTAGGCCTCTCCTGTCCTTCCCCCACCCGGCCCATACCGCAGCCCATATGCCCCCATCTGGTTCACCAGTTCTTGCTCACGGCTAGACTCCTGGCCCCAGGCACAGCCGCACACACAGAACTTGACTCAACCTGCCTTCGCAGGGTGTGACACTCAGGAGAGAAAGATTCTGGGCCTGGAGTGGAAACCTCCCCCTGTCCACCCTAGACCTTGACCTTTAAGAGAACAGTGTCTGAATTTGTGTCTGGCAGAGGGAGGGGTGAATTTTCAGAACTGGGCGTTAATTAGGTCAGAAGAATAGGAACAGAAGAGAGGATCAGTCTAGCAGCAGCGGCAGCAGCAGCAGCACAAATCCTCAGGCTGGTGATAGGCCCTCAATAGGCAGACAGCCAGGAAGGCTCCTTGGGGGTCCTACGGACTTGTGCGAACTGGGGCCTGTGCAAGAGAGGGCTGTGATTCCCCAGCCAGAAGTGGAAGTGGGCTGAGTGGTTACTATGGCTTTGGGGCAGGGCCAAAGTGAAATAGTCCTGGTGGTTGCTGGGCAGTGCCTGTGTGTGTAACCATGGCAACAGGGCGGGGTAGGGGGAAATGGGACAGAGAAAAGGCAGGCGTGGGGGCTGGTGGGTAAGCCACAGCAGAATAAAATTCATGTGCAGCTCAGGGGCCAGGGCCTCAGACACTATGGGAGCATCAGTGCCCTCCCAGCACCCCCAGCTGTCCTGCTCCCTCCTCCCTGGCTCATTGCCCTGAGGCCACATGGTGTACCGCCATGGTCTGGCAGTAGCTCTGACCTAGTCCCAGCTACATTCTTTCCCTTCCACCATTGAGGTGGCCTCAGACCTGCTTTCATTAGAACATCCTCTAGATCAAATGCAATAACAGATGTGAATGCACTTGTGACCTTTAAAGTAATACATGAACACTAAATCTTCTCACCGTCTCTTTCTCACTGTTCTTAGAATATGGCAGAATATTCTCCTCTGGTTTCTCCCTGCCTAGTGTGCACTGCCATAATCCCCACACCCACCCCAAGGCTGCCCAGTGCTGGGGATGCACTGCTCTGTTTAATCCATGCATTTAATCCCAGGATTTAAATCTAGCGCTTGTGTAGTTGTCCTGCTCCTAGCCTTTGTCCTGGCTGTTCTCCTAGGGTAGCCCCTCCTAGACTAAAGAATATTCACTGCAAGCCCTCTGGCAGGTCAGAAGAGGAGAAACCAAAGAAACCACGCTAGTCCCCATACACCCATCACCCAACAGCTCAGCACTGCAAGCATAACACATTTCTGGTCTTTGACCAAGTATCCATGAAGCAAATACGGGACCTTAGGGAAAGGCCTCAGGCAGGCTGGCCCATGAGAAACCTAAGGCAGGGACTACTCTTGGTCAAATAGCTAGCCCTATGTGTGTGACACGCATTACTTTTTTTTTTTTTTTTTTTTTTGAGACAGTCTTACTTTTGTTGCCTAGGCTGGAGTGCAGTGGCTTGGTCTCGGCTCACTGCAACCTCCGCCTCCCGGGTTCAAGCGATTTTCCTGCCTCAGCCTCCCGAGTAGTTGGGATTACAGGCACCCGCCACCATGCCTGGCTAATTTTTTTCTATTTCTAGTAGAGACAGGGCTTCACTATGTTGGCCAGGTTGGTCTTGAACTCCTGACCTCAAGTGATCCGCCCACCTCGGCCTCCCAAAGTGCTGGGATTACAGGCTTGAGCCACCGCTCCTGGCCCACATTACTCTTTTAGAAGCTGAATTGTCACATCCACCATCTCATCTGGCCTCACAGTAACCCCATGGTGGGGCAGGGATGAAATCACTGACTGCCCCCCACCCTCTGCAGATAAGGACACTGAGCCCCAGAAGGTGAACTACCTTGCGCAAGGTCCCACGGAGCTGAGGCTGAACCACCCCCCGTTCCCTCAGTCGGCCAGTTTGGGACCGCTGCGGCTTGCCTGAGCTCTAGACGCCTGGGGCTCCTCTGCCAGCTTTTTCCAACCTAGTAAGATACAAGACCAGTCCCGATCCTTTGGTGGCTGTAGCACCACAGGCAGCACTAACCTCTCCTTCTGCCCAGCCCTGTTTCTCCTCTCTAACTCTGGTCATAAACAGGGCTCCAGTCTAAGAGAAGGAAAGGGAACTACCATGTGGAGCACGCTCTGTACCTCTGTACGGCATCTCAAAACGCTCACAACAATCTTCTGTGTACTCTCAGCCTATTCTACAGGTGGGAAGACTTTACAGATAGGAGGCCAGGTAAGCTTTCCAATGCACACGAGACAGGGGGTTGGGACCTAAATTACAGCCTAGACATTCTGACTTCACTTCTGGCTCCTTCCCTGCCTCCAGGTACCTCCGAGGAAGTGTCCAATAGCCTCA